ACTGCAGTTGTAGATAGACAGTCTATCATTTCATGCAAATTACCACGACGGGGGATGAGGGGAAGTCCAAATACCCTCAATTGCAAGGTTGCAACGTGTGATAAGAGAACATAAAGCATGCAATAATCTCGGGTTTTAAGGAACGTATGTCTGTCTTGTTCGCTACAGCTGGCAAGTCTTCATAATCATTCTTTATATATGTATGTGTGTGTGTGTGTGTGTGTGTGTGTGTGTGTGTGTGTGTGTGTGTGTGTGTGTGTGTGTGTGTGTGTGTGTGTGTGTGCGTGTATGTGTGTGTGCGTGTGTGTGTGTGTGTGTATGCGTGTGTGTGTGTGTGAGTGTTTGTGTGTGTGTGTGTGTGTGCGTGTATAACGTATGTATGTATGTATGTATATATGCGTGTGTGGAGGGGGAGGAGGGGTGTTTGTGTGTGCGTGCGTGCGTGTGTGTGCATTCAGAGCTTCATAATTTTTTCCGCCTCTTCATTAGATATGTTCATCCTTTTCCCTCGATCTTTCTGATGTTTGTTTTGTAAAGATTTTGCAAGTTTTATTTCCCATCTCTTTCTTTCTTTTTCCTTCTATCTTTCCTTTCCTTTCTCTCTATCTTTTTTCTATCATCAACCTTTTTAATTTTTTTCTCCACCATTTCTTTTCGCTTTTAAGTTATCATTTTCAATAAAGCTGTATCGTTAATGTTTAGACCCTACACCTGCACTGTCTCCCTCCCCCCCCTCTCCCATCTGTCTCCTCCCCCCCCCTTCTCTCATGTCTCCTCCTCCCCCCCCCCCCTCCCTCGTCTCCTCCAACCCCCCCCTCCCCCCTCCCCCTTTATCTTATCTCCTTTCTTTCACTCTCTCTCTCTTATTCCCTTTTTATGACTTCCTGTTCATAAAGTTACCTTTTTCTTACCTTCTTTCCCACAGAGTGATGCCCCCCTCCCTCCCTTTCTCCCTCCCTCCCTGTCTCCCTTCCTCCCTCCCTCCCTGTCTCCCTTCCTCCCTCTCTCCCTCCCTTCCTCCCTCCCTCCCTTCCTCCCTCCCTCCCTCCCTCCCTCCCTCTCTCCCTCCCTCCTTCCCTCTCTTTCGCCGCCCCTCCCTCTTCTTTTTTTTCTCCCTTCTACCGCCTCTCGGCTTCCTCCTCCTCACCCCTTTCTCTCTCATTCACTCCCCCTCCCTTTCGTCCCCTCTCTCTCTCCTTTCCCCTCTCCTACCCATTTCTTACCCCCATTCCCCTCTCCGCTCCAAACTCCCCTCTCCCCCCCTCATCTCTCCTCTATCTCCCTTCCCCCTCTCTTCCCTCCTCCCCTCTCTCCCTCTCCCTCTTCCTCCCCATTCTGCCTTTGTCTCCACCTCCCCACTTTCCCTATTTTCCTATTCCTCTCCTCTCCCCCCCTTTCCCCTTTCTTCCCCATTCCCTCTTCCCCTTCCTCTTCTTCTTCCTCACCCCCTTTTCCTCCCTCACTCCTCTTGACACCAAATAAGCCGAAGACACTGTAGACTGGAACCGTCCGCTAAATCGAGTTGGTCGTTTTATCCATGACAACTTCATTAATTTTTAAGCGGCATAAACTTGCCATTTTGGGTTACAGTGGTCGTGGGGGGGGGGTGAAAGGAGGGAGGGAGTGAGGAGGAAGTGGATAGGGAGAGGGAGAGGGGGGAGGGGGATAGTGCGAGGGAGGGGGAGGGGGATAGTGCGAGGGAGGGGGGAGGGGGATAGTGCGAGGGAGGGGGGGGGCAAGGGGAGTGGGATAAAAGGGAAGGAGGAAGAGGAGGAATATTTACGCGTTTTTTTCACGCATTTCTATTGCTTTATTGTCATGTGGATGTTTTTTTTTTTCTGTCTCATTTCTTTCCTTCCTTCTTCCTATTGGTTCTTCCATACTTTCTACGAATCTTTTTTTTTTTTTTTTCCATCCATCAACCCCTTCTCACTTAACTCACCATCCCCCCCCCATTTCCCCTTCACCCTTCCACTCTACCCTCCCCTTCCCCCTCCCTCTAATCACCCCCTCTCCTCTCCCCACACCCCTCCTCCCCTCCCCCTCCCCTCCCCACCACTTCACACCCTCCTCCCCCTCTCCCCCACACACCCCACCAACCTCCCCTCACCCCCTCTCCCCACCCCCTCCCCTAATCTCCAATCACCCCTTTCCTCTCCCCACACCCCTCCTCCCCCCACCCCTTCACACCCTCCCCCTCCCCACCACTTCACACCCTCCTCCCCCTCTTATCCTCCTCCTACCCCTCTCCCCCACACACCCCACCAACCGCCCCTCACCCCCTCCCTCCCCTCACCCCATCCCCCTCCCACTTCACACCCTCCTCCCCCTCTCCCCCTCCTCCTCCTCTCCCCCACACACCCCACCAACCTCCCCTCACCCCCTCTCCCCTCCCCCTCCCCCCCTCCCCTAATCTCCAATCACCCCTTTTCCTCTCCCCATAAGAGACGTTAGGGTGTGTTTTAAAAGAGTGAGAAATTCTTGCGGTCTCCCTTGTACGGTGCGCCTCCATATTCAAATGAGGGATATCGCTCGGGTGACCGCACCTGATCTGCCTGGCGAAGGGTGGGGGGGGGGGAGTGAAGGGGGAGAAGAAGAAAGGGGGGAGGAGGAAGAGGAGGAAGAGGATAAGGGAGGAGGGGGAGGAGGAGGAAGAGGAAGAGGGAGTAAGGGGAAGAGGAGGGGTTAAAGAAGGGGGAAGTGAACAGGAAGGAGATAGAGGAGGAAGAGGAGGAAGAGGAGGAGGGAGGAGGAGGAGGAAGAGGAGGAAGAGGAGGAGGGAGGAGGAGGAAGAGGAGGAAGAGGAGGAGGGAGGAGGGAGGAAGAGGAGGAAGAGGAGGAGGGAGGAGGGGGAGGAGGAGGGAGGAGGGGGAGGAAGAGGTGAGTTAGAATAAGGGGGAAGTTGAAGAGAAGGAGGAAGAAGAAGAAGGAGGAGGTGGAGGAAGAAGAGGAAGTGAAGAAGAAAAAGAGGAGGAGAAAGAGAGGTAGAAGAGGGAAGCGAAGAGGAGGAGGAAACTGGAGGGTTAGAAGTAGGGGGGAACAGAGGAAGGGAAAGGAAGGAGGAGGAAAGGAGAAAAAGAGAAGGAGGAGGAGGAGGAGGAGTAGATGAAAGGGGAGGAGAGGAAGAAGAGGAGAAGCAGATGAGGATGGAGGAGAAGAGAAAAAAGAGGAGAAAGGGGAAGAAGAAAGTGAAGGGAAAAAGGGAGAAAAAGAAGAAGGAATGAAGAGATGTAAATGACAGACATAAGAAAAGGAGAACAACAATTTTACGAAGAAGGAATAAAAAAGGAAAAATAAAGCGAAATGAAAAAATAGGAAAACAGAGAAAAAAAAAACTTGGTTGAAGTAAAACGAATAACGAATAAGAAGAGCAAAAGAACTGGAAGAGAAAATGCCAAAGAAAAAAGAAAAACAAGGAAATAAAATAAAAGTTTAAAAATATTTCCTTTAATAATGTGGAGAAACGAAAAGAAAACAAAGAAAAGAAAAAAAGAAAATAAGAAAAAAAAGAGGAAAATTTAAAAGAAAATTTAGTATGAAAATATAGGGAAGAAAATATTCATAATTTCCATTATTTGATAGCTCCTTTTTCCCACTTTCAGGGTCATTTAGATGACTTCATTATTGCAAAAAATTAATCAAATTTCAGCTATGAGTTTCGCAACGAAGAGACATCTATAAAAAAAACAGAGAGAGACGAAATTAATGTCTCAGAAAAAAAAGAAAAAAAGGAAGGAAAATCTTATTCCAATGCGTATTAAAAAAAAAAAGAGAGAGAGAGAGACATCGACACTGTTTCCAAAAACCCATTCATCATTGGTACCTCCATAAAAAAGAGGAAAAAAAAAGAAAAAAAGAAAAGTTTTCACCTAAAAGGCTAACAGACATCTCGAAAACCTTTAACTACCCCTCCCCCCCCAGCACCACCATCCCCCCCCCCAAACCACGGCTTACCATGTTACATACTAATTAGGTCTTCCTTCTCGCCTCTATCACCCCTCTCCCCTCCTTACACCCCCTCCCTCCCCCACCTCCCCCGCCCACGGCACCCTAACCAACCTGCTTGCTCGCAGATCAGGGCAGGGGGCGGTAGGGGTAGGGGGTAGGGGCAGAGGAGGAGGAAGAAGAGGAAGAGGAGGAGGAGGAGGAGGAAGGGAGCGGTAGGGGGCATGGGAATTGCTTTACATATATATATATATAGACATAAACATATATTTATGCATACATATAAATATTTTTTTCTAAGTACGCTCTGTAATCATTATCATCATCTTAGTCATCATCATCATCCTGATCGCCAGCATAAACATCATCGTTACTCATTATTACTGTTTTAGCATCACCTTTGCCAGGTGGGCCTCTCTATCATACTAAGACGTTGACTTACACTCTAACCCCATGCTGTATCTTCCTATAATGCAGTAGTACCTTTCACGGGCCATAAACCACTCCACAGCCAGCAACACCACAGCTCACCACGCCACACTAACACCACATAGCACCACAGCACACAAGCTCACCACATCATCTTTACGCCACAACACCCACCATACAATACATCACAGAAAAAAAAACTATTAAAACACACACATACACACGCCTAGCACTACATCTCACTACCATATGCTTCACTGCATCACCCCACAGCAGTGCAAACGAAGCACCGGCGTATTGCCACCCCGTCACCGCACATTTCACTGCCAACTATAACTACGTCCAATTTCAAGAAAGGGATATCTGGCAACTCACCCCCGACTCTGGTGCACTCCGATTTACCGAATATATTTTGAGAAAAGATGATTTCAATAATAAAAACAAACAAACTACAAAGCACATATGAAAAGTAACCAAAAAACTATCCTGAGACTCAAAAAACAACAACATATATATATATATAATAATAATCTATCGAATCGGAATGCTCCAAGAGTAGAGTTGCCAGCGTTTCCTTTTCCCGAGATTGCACGCGCTCTATAACTACCAACCGAGGCTCTACTCACGTCTTGGGAATGTGGATCTTGTCATCTTCGGTGTGTCTGGGAAAACACGAGAAAATTCTGGTTAAGCGGATGAGCACGAGGCTCTGGGTGGATCTGATAGACACAGACACAGTCCATGCTTGTTTTGTTGTTTTCTTTTTTTTCTTTTTTTTTCTTTTTTTTGGTCTGATTTCTATATTTGCTTTTGATTTGGATTCTTACTTATGGGGTAGAGAGATACAGACACAGTTCATGCTTTTTTTTTGTCTGGTTTCCTTTTTTATTTTTAATTTGAATCCTTATCTATGGGTTATATATTTTTTTTTTTTGGGGGGGGGGTGAGAGTGGGGGGTATTCTCTATTGGGGGTCTGATGAACATGCTTTTTTTGGCCTACTGGTGAAATTTTAAATTCTTAACATTACTTTCTTCTCTTAATTAATAATTATCCAATTATTCATCTATTTACTTATTAAATTTATCAATTTATAAATTGGTTTTGGAGGGAGAGGGAAGTGTGTAGGTTACATTAGAATCCCACGTCCTTCTGCAATGCAAAAAAAGTTTCTTCTTCATTTCATACTTAACTATTTCTTTCCTTTTACGTTTCGATCTTTAAGAAAAATTACCAGGGATATAAAAAAGTAATTTCCAAGAAAAAAAAACGACGTAAACTTCACGCAGCTAAGATCTAGAAGGCTAAATAACTGAACTAGTTTCTAACGTGTCCGACCGGTAGAGTGCGCATGCGTTACACCTGGTCATGCGCACTGCCCCTCCATGCGCATCGCCGTCATGCGCAACTCTGCTCTAAGCTCGTGTCTATCAGCAACCACTGCATGCAAAAGAAGGCTTAAATTCTAAGGGAATAACTAAGGATTTTCTCTTAATGTAGGTGTGCTAGCTACTTAGAGGTCATGACTATAAATTTGACAAGATCAGAACACATTATTTGCAAAGCGGTAATTTCCCGCTCTATAGATGGATGAAAATAATGATAGTTTTATTTATCTTTTTTTTTTCTTCTTTACTTCTAATACGAACCCAGAATGTCTATAAACTTACAAGACGCCTGTTCTTGTGCCTTTATTTAGTAGAACAGTCCAAAGCTAATTCAGATGGGAAGAAACTGCAAATCAATCGCATTATACCAATAATCACAATAAAATACAACGAAAGAGTGGTATTTCCCGCGGATACAATAAAAAAAATCGAGTTTTATACATCCTTAAACAAAAGAAAGAAAGAAAAATTAAAATAAAAACATATATAATCCTTTTCCCTTCCCACACTCTTTAAAAGACTTACATCTTGGGTATCTGGATTTTGTCGGCCTCCGTGTGCCTGGGGAAATCGTGCCAAGACCTAGCCGGCCTCTGGGAGTTGGGGGAGGTGCCAGCTGGTGCCCGGAGATCAGTGCCCAAGATGGAGCTCGGTTGGACCATCTCTTCATATCCGAAGGTCTGTCGGGGGGAAAGAAAACGGGATGTTATTATTATTTCTTTTAAAGGTAGACTGCGTTTTTTTTATTTATTATTGTTATTATTATTATTATTATTTTAATGATAGAAGTTGGGTGGGGAAGTTTTAAGGGAGGGTTAGATGAAGTTCTCTTGAGGATTGTGTTTTGTTTGGGTAGGTCTATATATTAGTTTGTTTATTTCTGGGGAATTAGAAGGAAGGGGAAGGATAGATGTAAAAATAATGGGCTCTGGAAATATTCTAGTTTCAGGTCTTGGTGTTTTGGTGGTATCTATCTCTAAATGAGAGATAGAGAGGGAGGGAGAGAGAGAGAGAGAGAGAGAGAGAGAGAGAGAGAGAGAGAGGGGGGGGGGGGAAGGGAGTGAGAGAGAGAGAGAGAGAAAGAGAGAAAGGGAGTGAGAGAGATAGAGAGAGAGAGAGATAGCGATCAAGCATAAATCAGTCCAAACAACAAAGCCCAAAGGTAAAATAAACAAAACATCCTTATGAATCATTCATTAAGAAAAAAAATAGTAACCATAAACCTCATTCAGCAAACCACGAGATGCAAAGAAAATGGTAAACGTCATGAGAAGAAAACGGATACTAAAGCGGCGAGATAATTAAGGGGGGACTACACAATTATCTAGTAAAGCCCACGTCTACGAAAGGAAGAAAGACAAAAGACGAAGAGGAGGATGACTCAGGGATCGTCGGAAATGATAAATGGACAATTGAAAGCAATGCTATGCAATTAGCGAAGAGTAATTGAAAAGGAAACGGAGATAAGTCCCACCCCAACAACAGCAAAAAAAAAAAAAAAAAAAAGAATAAAAAAAACGGAATATCGTGTAATTGAAACGGCCATCAATAACTCGCTTAAATTTAAGCTCCCTCTTTTTTTTTCTCTTTACTACTTCTTCCTTTCCTTTCCCTTTTTCTCTCTTTCTTTCTTATCTTTTTATCATTATTATCATTATTTTTATTTTTTTTTGGTTCTGTCCTTTCCGAAAGTATAAGACAAATGGCCGCTATATTCACTTTGACCTTAGCAATCATCATTGTGACCCAACACATCAATTTTCCATTTGCCGGAGTTATAACAATGGCGACCTGTGCCGTAATAACAGACGGGATAACCATACTGGAAATGATAATAAATGCGTGAGATGTGCTTATGAATAGTCCAGAGAGTCAGAGATGAAATATTCACCTCTGGTACACATGGGTGCGTGCGTGTGTTTGTGTGTGTACGTGTGTGTGTGTGTACGTGTGTGTGTGTGTACGTGTGTGTGTGTACGTATGTGTGTGTGTGTGTGTGTGTGTGTGTGTTTATTTGTTTGTGTGTGTGTGTGTTCTCTTCTCTGCTTCCCCTTTGTCTCCCTCGCTATCTTTCTCCTTCCTCCCCCCCCCTTCCATCTCTCTCCCTCTCTTCTTCACCCCTTCTTCCTCTTCCACTTCTTTTCTTCTCATTCCTTTCCTCCATTCTCTTCCTCTTGCACTCTCCTCTTTTCTTATTCTTCCTAAGATCATCTGATTCACAATTCCTTAGAAATTTATTTTTCGAGAAGAAGAAATAGGAGAAGAAGGAGGAGGAGGAAGAAGAAGAGAAGGAGGACGAAAAGAAGAAGCAGAAGAAAAAGAAAAAGAAATGGAAGAAGGAGCAGGAAGAGGGGAAAAAAAGAAGAAGAAGGATGTGGAGGAAGAAGAGAGGGAGGACGAAAAGAAGAAACAGAAGAAATGAAAGAGGAGGAGGAAGAGGAAAAGGAGAAGAAAAAGACGAAGGAATGATATGAAGAAAACACACCTTGTCGATTCCTTTATCTCATACGATAATTAATCGGCGAATAAATGTTTAATCGGAGAGAAAACAATAATTGAAAATCAAACAATTAGTTATTATCTTCCTTTTTTTTATTTCTCTCTCTCTCTCTCTCGTAGGAAAACAAGAATTGAAGAAAAATAGGAAAGAGAGAGAAATGGTGAAGATTGGGAAAGTTGAAATGTATAATCGTAAATTCGAAATTAAGCGAATGAATGTGATTTAAGTTTATTCATTTTTAGTAATAGATACAACAAGCGAATTAAATGCTTTGTTCGTTATTGAGGTTAAACCTTCATGTCAATTAATACTTAGATTCGATGTTTATTTAAAATATCTAAATTCTATATTCGAGTCTGTATTAATGAATACTTAAATTCGATGTTTGTTTAAAATTAATATCTAAATTCTATATTCGTGTCTGTAAATATGAGAGTTAAAAATAGGCTAATGGATTGCTGATAAAGGATAAAAGTTACTTTTAATAAACATATTTATAATGGCACGGATTGTTCATTTTCTGTTGTCAAACTATATATTTTTTATATACAAACATACATAGACACATATAGATACATTCCTGACGCACAAACACACACACACACCACTCACACACTCACGGAACACGTACACACACTCAAGGAATACACACAGACACACATACATGGGAAGCATACATAGATACATACAGATACAGACGCAGTCCCTCCACACAAACGCACACACGCACATACACACACAAACACAGGACACGTACTCTCTCTCTCTCCCTCCCTCCCTCTCTCTCTCTCAATCTCTCTCTCTCTCTCTCTCTTTCTCTCTCCCTCTCTCTCTCTCTCTCTCTCTCTCTCTCTCTCTCTCTCTCTCTCTCTCTCTCTCTCACACACACACACACACACACACACACACACATACACACACACACACGCACACACACACAATCACGGAACACACACGCAGTCTTTATAATTCGTAAGCATTACCAAACGGACAATAAGAATGTGTCACTTAATTCATGCATGAGTGTGTTTGAAAAAAAAAGTCTTTGTTTTAGTGTGTATTCAGAGAACTAAAGATTTTGGGGTCACGTTAGAAGGTTATTGTAAGTTAAATCAGGTAAAGAAGAAATGTAAAAAGAGAGAAAGAGAGGGGGAGAGAAAAAAAGGAAAAAAAAGGGAAAATTAAAAGAAATGTATTTACAGAAAAAGAGAGAGGGAGAGAAAAGAAAAAAGGAAAAAAGGAAAAATTAAAAGAAATGCATTTACAGAAAAAGAGAGAGAGAGTGAGAAAGAGAGAGGGAGAGAAAAGAAAAAAAAGAAGGAAAAAAGGGAAAATTAAAAGAAATGCATTTACAGAAACAGAGAGTAATATCACTGGAAAGGTGAAATTACATACCAGTATTTTCTTTTTTCCTTTTTTTTTTCCTTTTTTTTCTCTCTCTTCCTGATTGATTGTTTTATTGTGTTTTGTGGGTCTGTATGTTTCTCTTTTGCGTTAGTTCATAAAGGACGAATAAACAGGATTGGTTCTTGATATCAGTTACAGCCATCTAGGTTACTAATGGAAAAGATGGATATGTACGTAAACAGACACACACACACACACACACACACACACACACACACACACACTCAGACACACACACACACACTCACTCAGACACACACACACACACTCACTCACACACACACACACACACTCAGACACACACACACACACACACACACACACACACACACACACACACACACACACACACACACGCACGCACAATCACACACACGATACAGACATTTGAAATGACGACATCCTCCTTTCTCCTTCTTAAAAGAAATAAAAATAAAAAGAATAAAAAAATAAAATATGAAATAAAAAAAATAAAAAAATAAGAAATAGAAAAAATAAGATAATAAAAGATAACAATAAAAGAAAAAAATCGTAATAACGGTTTCGAAGCAAAAGTTCTAAAGTAGCCATAACAGCGTACCCGCGAGCATTCCGTGCTTGGAGGCACAACGAAACGATAATTATTGTTGCGTCCTTGTACAACATTCTGCTCCCCCCCCCTCTTCTCCTCCACTTCTCTTCCTCCTTCTCTTTCTTCTTATTTCAACCACATGTCTTCCTTCTTCCGCTTACTTGCCCTCTCTCTCTCTCTCTTCCTTGTTCTCTTTTTATTTTCTCTCTTCTTTCTTATATCCTCTTCCTCGATTCCTGTAACTCTACCCCTTTTCACCCCCCCCCCACCGTCTTCTTCTCTTTCTTCCTCCTCCTCCTATACCCCTTTTTACCCTTCTCTCTTCCACTCTTTCCCATCTTCTCTCTTTCTTATAACCCCGTCCTTTTCTCATCTCCTTTTACCTATTCTCTTTCCTCCTAATTTCCTCTCTTTTCCTCTTTCTTTCCCTCTTCCCTATCACCCTATCTATCCCCCTCTCTCCCCCCTCCCTTTCTCCACTTCCCTCCCTCCCTCTCCCCCCTCCTTCCCACCCTCCCTCTCCCCTTTCCCACCCCCTCCTCCCTCCTTCCCTTCCCTTCTCCCCTCCTTCCTACCCTCCCTCCCCCCACACCTCCCCACTCCCCCCCCCCCCTTTCCTCTCCCCCCCCTCCCCTCCAACCCTATCCTGAAGTTCCCTCCGTCACCCACACTCCCCCCAATAAGGACGCAGGACCGAGACCGAACGCCAAGTAGACTTTCTTCCAACGTCTTGCGAAAAGGGGCGGAGACTTAGCGCCTTCGGGCAGGTGTCCGGACGTGTTCGGTTCCTCGAAGAGATTGGCGATTATTCTTATCTTTGTTATATATATATATATATATATATATATATATATATATATATATATATATATATATATATATATATATATATGTATATATATATATATATATATATATATATATATATATATATATATGTATATATATATATATATATATATATATATATATATATATATATATATATATATATATATATATATATGTATGTATATATATAAATAAATATATATATTTTTTTTTCTCTCTCTCTTTATTTCTCTCTCTCTCTTTCTTTTCTCTCTCTCTCTCTCTCTCTCTCTCTCTCTCTCTCTCTCTCTCTCTCTCTCTCTCTTTTACTTTCTTTCTTTCTTTTCGTTTTTTCTTTCTTTCTTTGTTTAGCTATCTTTTTATCTGTTCTC